GAAAAGAGGCATTGGACTTGTTTTGTTTTTCCCAGAGGGCAAAGCTAGACCCAACAGGGTGGGCATGGGGAGCTTGGGAGAAGAGAATTACAAAGGAGCTGTTGTTTGGGAGAAAACTTGCCCATGCTTGGAGCTATCCAATGGGAAGGGGCTGACTCGGGAGGTAGTGGACTGGAGGACCACCAGCTAGGGATGCTGGGGAAGGGATTCTTGGTCAGAAATGGGTGGGATCTGGTGGCATTGGAGGCCCTTCCAGCTCTATGGTTCTCTGTAAGAACAGATATGCAGCCAGCTCACATTAGCCTTTCCCATGGCCTCTTTCTGGAGCCCAGCAGCCTGAATTTCCACAGCTCGCTCATTCATCTCTGTTGGAGGAATACAGTTCAGAGGCTCCTTTCCTGGCCTTGCCCTCACTCAACACGACAACATTTTGAGTTATCCAATCATAGGCCTAGAACTGGAAGGAACTTCAGAGATCAGCAAGTCAAGCCCTCTTCATTTACAGGGAAGGAAACTGAGGCCCAGGAAGTGTAGGGATCTGAATGAATTTTAAAGCCTTGTGTTTATACTATTTGCTAAGCACTAAGGATACGAGTACTAGCAACTAAGACAGTCCCTGCCCTATAGAACTTCCATTCTAATGGGGGCAGGAAGCACATAGGGAGAGACCTGCTCAGAGAAGGGTATTTTGTTCTGTGGGATGTAGGAGTGGATGGAAAGAAAGGTCAGTGGGTTGTGAGATTCAGGAAGAAACTGGTTTGGAGCTATCAGCCTCATTGAAGGGTACCAGGTCCAGGAGGAGAAGGAGGGAGGGAAGAGCCAGGAATATAGCACCTACTGTGTGCCAGGCACTGTGTCATATGCTTTCTTACCAATAGTGTGTGTTGTTTGATCCTTGTAACAACCTGGTGAGGTAGGTCCTATTATACAGTTAAGGAAACTGAGGCAAAGAGCAGTTAAGTAACTTGCCCAGGGTCACATTGCTAATGTCAGATCTTCCCAGCTCCAGCACAGGGCTCTAGCTACTGTATCACCAGCTGCCTCTAAGAGGAGCCGTGGCCTTCAGATGGCAAGATTGCCGGGGTGGGTGGATGGATAGAATGTGAAGATGAAGCATGGACTTATCCAAGGTCATACAGACACAAGCCTTAGGGGCAAGATTTGAACCCCAATCCTCTTATTCCATAGCCAATGCTTACTTGCCTTACTCTGGGCCTGCCCTGTACTGCCGGGAGCTCTGTGGCTGCCTTCACAACCTTTAAAACATTGCCCTGTCTGAAGAGTGCTGGGGAAACTAATTTCAAGTCCTAATGATGGAAACTCAGGAAAACAACACAGCACACACAGAGAGGCGGACATCTATAAACACCTGCAGTCCCACAGAGCTGGCTGGAAAGGGAGGGAGGGCGAGGCCTAGCGAAAGACCAAGGGATGCCAGACAAAACTCTCTGCTCTTTTTTTCTTCCTGTGACAGAGGAAATGGAGCAGAGAGCATGCCGCGGACCTCGTCTCCTGAATTCTGTCTAGAATGTGACAGCAGCACGTGAAATCTTCCAGGGTTAGCTGAATCTCCCTTGGAGACAGGGATTGTCATGAGTGTGAAGGGCCTTCTAGGGAGCCTGCTTGCTCTAGTGGAGAGACTTGAACTCAGAACCAGGGACACCTAGATGCTAATCCTGCCTCCGACAATTGTTATTCAGTTGTGAACAACTCTCCGTGATTCCATGTGGGGTTTTCTTGGCAAAGGTACTGGAGTAGTTTGCCATTTCCTTCTCCAGCTCATTTTACAGATGAGGGAACTGAGGCAAAGAAGGTTAAGTGACCTGCCCAGGGTCACACAGCTAATAAGTGTCTGAGGCTGGATTTGAACTCAGGAAAGTGAGTCTTCCTGACTCCAGGCCTGGTGCTCCACCTGCTGCACCCACTGCACCCGCTGCACCACTTTGCTGCTCTTATTATTTTGACCAGCTACATGACCCCAGGCACGTCACTTAACCTCTCGGCATCCCCAGGCCACTCCCTAAGACTGTGGAGGCAGGAAAGGTGTTGATGTGCATTAGTAAGGGACTTTCCTCTCCTGGGAGTTCCCTTCATTTATGAAATCGCAGATCTAGTCCAGAAAAAGGAGTATTGAGGTCCACGGAGGCATACCGATAAAATGCTCTGCAAAAATGTGGAGTGAGGCATCCCACCAATGCTGGGCCTTGAGGAAACATTTCTTATTCCTACTCCATGTGTTAGGCCCTGGGACAAGTGCTGGATAGACAAAGACAAGCTAGAAACATCCCTTCCCCAAAGGAGCTTACATTCTATCCGAGAAGAAAACAACAGGTGTATCTTTAATCAACCAATCAACCATTAATTCATGTAGCCCAGGTTCTGGGCTTACTCTCCCAATCCCCACTCACACCAGCAGTTTAGTTCCCCAGAGACCACTGCTACTTATCCCTTCAGAGAGCTGGGGGCACCCTGGAATGGGGGTGCCGTGGCTTGTCTTTCTAATGCTATTGCATCTTACAGTACTCAGAACAGTGTCTGGCACACAGTAGGTGCTTAATAAATGTTTATTAACTATAGCTTTATAGCCCCCACCATTATACTTTCCCTTCCTATGATTATCAGTTTATGCCAATGAGAACTAATTAGTTTTTAGAAAGGGTATTTGCTAAGCAGATCTGGTCAGAACGATGGATACAAAACTTCCTGTGCCCAAAAGTCTAGAATACATTTTCCCACTAATATATACAGAGTCCATAGGAAAGTGGGCCCAAGCTTAGAGAGTGCATGTGGCAAAAGGGTAACTCACAGCCCTTTTCTCCCCTTCCCAGGATACTTGTAAAGCTCCCCCAGGGTTGTTGATTTTCTCCTGAGCTCCCTGTAGAGCCCTGAGTCTGCCATTCCTCACTGCAGCCAGCCTGTCCTTAGTTCCTGTCCAGTCACTGCCACTAGCCACTGCTGCCCCATGATGCTGCTAGGATAGATGGAGGTATGGGGGGGGGGGTGGAATCCCAATCCCTCAGTCCTCAGAAGTTCACAGGGTTCTCCTCTGCTCTGGTTCTATGCAATCTCCACGGGGCTGACGAAGCCCCTCCACCAATCCAAAAACACTTCCTATGAGGCGTCACTTCACTTCAGCCAATAGCTGTATTGGGTTTCTAAACTGATCTAGTCTGAAGCCTCTGATTGATTAACGTCCAGGCCTTGTTCATGCCTCTGAATGATTGTGCTCACCAGATCGAGGAAGCAGGGCATAGCATCTTCTCATTTGCTTTAAGAAGGATGGAGTAATTTGATTCAATCAACTTCTACCCTTACACTAGTTCCTACTATGTGCTAGGCACTGGAAATACAAATTTATCTATATGTTTGTATACATGTGTTTATATACATTGTATGTATATATATATATATGTATACATACATATATATATATATATATATATATTATATATTTGTATGTCTTCAAACACTCAAAAAGTGTTTGTTAAGCACCCACTGTGTGCCAGGTCCTATGAGGATACAAAGACAAAATTGAAACAGTCCCTGCCCCAAAAAGGTTACATTCTATCAGGGAAGGGGAGACACTATTTAGACATACAGTTATATGATAAATAGAAACTTACAGAATGAAAGAGAGAGAAAGGAAGGAAGGGAAGAAAGAAAGAAAAAGAATGTAAAGAAAGAGAAATTTGCTTTTGTAGAATTCATAAATTAGAGAGGAGATATGATAGAGTTGATAGAACTTTCAGAGCACTCCAGCTATGTGCCCCAGCAAATAAATATGCTTCCCCATTTCACAGATTCACAAACTGCATAATTTATTTTTTGCCCCATTTAGGATTAGCTCCACTGCTTTTGACTTTTCCTCCCTTCATCCTGCATCAGGCCATTTCTTTCTAAAGCCCAGCAGCTCCCACAAAATATTAGGAAACCGAGCCTAAGCCATGCAGAGAAGAGGAGGGAAGTAAAACTCACCAACCACTTTAATTAAAACTGAAATTGGTTTTTCTTTCAACCAAATATTAAGTTATTTTGCCAAATAGTCAATTATAACTATTGGAGGGGGAAAAAACTTTAACTTAAGTTCCCAAAATAACACTGTTTTACCCTTGTAGTTTTTTTTAAATTTCTTTTGCATGTTACCTTATACATAAAGGATGAGGGAGGAGATTCCCAGTGTGAAAACTCTCTTCACAGATACTGATACTAACCTTTTTTTGACTTAGTAGATAAGTCTTAGAGAGTTTAGAGGTTTAGAGAAATTAAGTGACTTGCCCAAGGTCACATAGCTAATAAATGTAAAAAGATGGATTTGAACCCAGGTCTCCCAGACTGAGTACAACACTCTATCCACACTATATCACTGCTACCTTGTTTCAGCTATTATTCACATATGATCAAAAGTTTACTTTTGTATCTTTCAACACGATCTAGATTTTACTGTATTCTTCAGTATATTCTTTAATGTATTCTAATTTGACCTAGGTATGGGGCCAGTGTTTTTTCCAGAGAAACCTACTTCCACTTATCTAAAGGAAGACCAATAGAAAATGCAACTCAATTAACAAAAATTCACGTTATGTATAAGTTTTGAGAAATGTATTTCTTCTGTAAAATGAAATACATTTGCGGTCCCCTATACGCTCAGAGAATGTAGACTAAGTTCCGTGCTGACTTAAGCCAATAGAATTAGAAAGATAAATTACAGATAAAGGAGAATGATAAAGAATCATAAACTATAACCAAAGACAATGCAAATGGCTTCAATGTTGTCAGTGAAGAGGGTCACCTATGCCACTACTTCCTCTGTTTGCGTGGATGTAGTCAGACATGCCTCAGTACAAGAGCCTATGGGTCCCTAAGACGCTCCCCTCACAGACAAGCATACTCAGAAAGCCACAGTTGTTTCCCCTTCACTGTTCAAAGTCCTATTTGCTACTTGGCAGCTCCCAGACACTACATACTAACCAGTTATCTGCCTCTGCTTCTTTTCCTTTCAGGATGCCTCCATTGCCCACAAATTCCACCTCATGCGAGAGAAATACCCTGAAAAATTCACGAGCAGGTAAAGCCCATGCCCTTTCCCCTCCTTTGCTTCCTTCTCTACCCTACTCTTACCTCCATCCCTGTCTTGATATATTACTTTCCCAACTGCTCTCTTGGAAATATTCTTGGCTGGGTCAGGATGGGGCCATTCGTTTGTGGCTGCATGAAGAAAGATTTTCATTTCTAAGAAGAAAGAAAAGGAAAATTGTCAGGAATACATCTTGGCCAGGCTGGGTAGGATTTTTTTTTTTTTTTGCCCACTGGGCAATGTGCTGAGTGAAAGATTTGGGAGCTAGAATGAGGAAAGGGGAGCTGCCTTTGCTTGGAAGTCAGTTCTGTTCTCAATCAGCCTTTCTTGGTTTTGTTCCTTTCCTAGAGTTGGTGACTCTGCCTCAGTCTGCCTCCTTAGAGAGATAACTTAAGGCTTTTCTGGAATGTGGGCTTCTCTTGGGTTTCTCTTAGGCTCCCTCCATTGTGTTTTCTCTTAATCTCATGCCCTTTCAAAGAAGTAGGGTTCCTGGGGTGATGGAGGGGAAGATGTGCCATTGACCACCTCCTCTCCTGTCCAGCAGGGGGCAGCAATAGAGAGAAAGTGGGTCACCCAGTAAGCAGAGTTGAGGAGAGAGGGATGGAATGGCCCCAGTGTACCTCCGATCTGTCCTTGGCACTCCCAAGAAAACTGGGACACTGGGGCAAAAAAGTATCCATCCAGCTAGCACATCAAAGAAGCCCTACTTCCTCGACTTGCGGCCAGTAGAGAGCTGTAACTGTTGCAGGTTTCCACCCACTAAAAGGGTTTTTCCCTAGTTCTGTCAGGATCCTTCCGCCCATGTTTCATAGTGTTTCGTCTCTCGCTGATGCACAGATTCAAGGTGCTCACCCAAGGTGACAAGAGCCCCAGTTAAACCTGGATGAACTGGATTCCCAAAGATAGCATGGTGAAGAGTGACAGCCAATCTTAGAGCGAGGAAGACTCTGAGTTCAGATCCCGCCTCGAACACATTCTAGCTGTATGAACACAGCCAAGTCATTTATCCCACCTCTGATAACTTACCACTCCTGGCCTTGGACAAGTGACTCTTCTCTCCAGAACTCAGTGCCCTCATCTATAAAAGGAGGGAGTTAGAGTGGATGCCCTCTGAGTTTCTTTCCTTCTCTAGATCTCTAATCCTATAGTCCTACGGTCCTAACCTGTCAGTAAATGAGGGCAACTTTCTAATAAAATAAGGCAAGGGAAAGTATGCTTGAGAAAGAGTCAGGTGACCTGGATTCAAATTCTGCTGTTGACGCTACCTACGAGTGACCTTGGACAAGTAGCATTACCTTTCTGGGCCTCAGCTTTCTTGTCTGATGGAATGCATGACCTCTGAGTTCCCTTCTAAATCAGATTTTATATTGCAGATGACCTGCCGAGCTATATCAGGGAGAGGAGTTTTCATGGTGGGAGCTCCCCACAGTGATGAACTCATACTCCTCCTACCCATCCAAAAAAAAGTCCAAATTTAGGCTCCTAGAACATCATGACCCTGGCCTCTGAACACTGAGAATGAAGTTCAGGCTTCTGAGATGAGCACAGATTCTCCAGATTTTGCTAGCTCACTAGCTATTTATGTCCCGTCTCCATTAGCTCTCTTGTTCTGCCCAGGCTGGGCTAGAATTAATTTTTAAATTCATCTTCAGAATCCTTTAACTTGGATTCAGTTTGCAGCCAGAAACGTATGAGCTAGAAGAAATGGCTCATAGGCCAAGGAGGGCAGGGGAAAGGAGGTTGTGGATGAGCAAGGGACATATTGCAAAATACTGTGAGGATTTGAATATCTACACTTGCCAGTAACAGCCTGTATGGGTAAGAAAGGGGATCGAAACTAAGCCATTCTCTCCTGAAGATTACAAACTTGTAAATGGGTGTCAAGAAGTTTCTTGCTAACAATGACTAGGGGGAAATTTTTTTTTTTGGCCTTTGATCTAAGAAACTCTTCCAGGCCAAGATTAGAGGATTGTCAAGTAAAGTCTAGAAAGTAAAGTAAACCCCTTAAGGGCAGGAAGTGCCTTGTTCTTATACCTGTATCACTAGTGTCCAGCACATAGTAGGAGTCTGATAAATGAAAAAAATGAGAACCCACTGAAGGGCCCAAGGAGTTGGGGCACTGTGCCCACTCCCTCTTCCTGAGGACCTCATCTGCTCCAGACCCATGCAAATTGTCCATTCAGTTATGGGGGAGCCTGGACTCTAAGGAGAGGCTTTCTTTGCATTCTCTTTGGCTCATTAACCCCTCCCCCAACCCTGCCACCCTGAGGACAAATTACTTAAAGCTTAGGTGTTGGCTCATATGTAGGTCTTGTCAAAATGGTAGAATAAAAATGCATGCAATGTACCATGTAAACCAGATATGGGACAGGTATTTATTTCCTGTACAGAAAAGACTCATAGCATGCATTGACAGAAAGACTTCCAATAGAATTCAGTAACAATTTTTAACTACAGTTAAGCTTCCCTGGGAGGCTGATACTTTGAAACCTTATCACAACATGAAGCAGTCTGTGGGACCCCCAAATAGTCATGAACACATTTCACCTAGCTTCTGCACTGTCCAAACAACTCTTGGCCATCTTCCTGCTCACTGTCGCCTTCTCTGGTAAACAAGCTCTCCTCTGCCTTCAGGCAGCTCCACTAACTGGACGTAGGGCCGCCAGACCTCTCCAACTGGCAACGGCGTGTCTGAACCTGGACTTGGCTATGTAACAAATGATGTTCAAAAGGGAAAGCAGTCAGGGACCCAGGCACAAGCTCACAATCTGTCAGGGGAGACAGGCTACCTATTTAAATAAATAGAAAACACATGTGCCATAATGTGTGGGTAAGACAAGCATCTGGAGGAGGGGGTCAAGAAAGGCTTTATGTAAAAGGGACCTCATGTTGAAGGCGTACTTGAGCTGAGCTGTAAAATCAGCAGTGATCATGCTATATCTTCCCAGGAAGCTAATGACATTCAATTTTTGGATACCAGATATGTCCCAGGAGCATAGATCTAAAGCCGACAGGCACCTCAGAGGCCATCTAGTAAAATCCCCTCATTTCACAGATAATGAAACCGAGGCTGAGGAAGGTAAGTGATTTGTCCAAGGTCACACAGGCTGTATGTGTCGGAGATGGGATGTGAACCCAGATGCCCCGACTTCAGAGACGATAATCTTCCCACTAAATCATGCGGTCTCCTCTAAGTTTTAAAAAAGATTACCCTAGAAAGGAGAAAGAAAAGCATAAACAGAGGTAAAAAAGGATGGAGAAAAAGACACAGATAGTAGTTATAACTGTGAACGTTGAATCGCTCTTTTTTTTTCTCCTCTGTTGAGTTTCGTTTCCTCTTTCTGATGGTTCCTCCTATTGGTTTTAATTTTTGCTTACAACTTCACTAATGTGAAAACATCTTTAATAGGAGTGTACATGTATAGCCTATACCAGATTGTGTGCCATCTTGGGAAGGGTGGTGGGGAGGAAGGGGGAGAAAAATGTTAAACTCAAAAGCATGTGGATGGGGCAGCTAGGTGGCGCAGTGGATAGAGCACTGGCCCTGAAGTCAGGAGGACCTGAGTTCAAATCCAGCCTCAGACCAAACACTTGACACAACTTACTAGCTGGGTGACCCTGGGCAAGTTACTTAACCTCAATTGCCTAAAAAAAAAAAGCGTATGGAAGTGATTGTTGAAAAATCAAAATAAATTAATAAAATAAAAATAAAATAAAAATAAAAAAGATTACCCTACCATACACAAGATGGGCCTATCTGATCTGGGACCTCAACCCACAAACTGTCTGAAGTAATGAGACATACTTTCATTTGTGCTGCCAGGACTATGAGGCTCGAATAAGCAGGCCAGGATAGGAAGGATAGAGGGATCTCCCCTGACCCATTATCCAGCCAGTGGCTGTTCAGCCTCTGCTTGGACTCTGCCAGTGATGGGGAGCTCATTTCCTCCCAAGGAAGTCCAGTTTGATTTGGGGAAGTTCTCATTGTTAAGGCATTTTTCCTTGAACTGAACTCAGACCTGCCTCTCTATAACTTCTGCCCATTGGTGGTGTTTTGCCCCTCTAGGGCCAAGCAGACTAGCCGGCCAGCCTAAACCCTTTTCTCTACCATAGTCCCCCTGATATTGGAAAACATCTGGTAGGCTTCCTCTTCAAACCAAATCAACTCAAATCCTCCAAGTGATCCCTCCAGCACATGTATGACAATTTTCCTCTTACTGGTCACCATCCTCCAGAAGCTTTGTATCTTAAAGGATCATAGGAGCCTGGATCTAGGACTGGAGGGGACCTCTGAGGCCATGTTTACTTTACAGAGAAGGAAACTGAGCATCAGAGAAGGAGAATGACTTGTCCAAGGTCACGCAGAGTTAGCATCAGAGGCAAGATTGAAGCCCAGGTTTGCACCAGTTCTCTTTCCATTGTACCTTGTCAATGTTTCCCTTAAAGTGTGCCACCAGTACTAGACACAATCCTCAGAATGTGGGCCAGTCCTCCATTAGTTATTCCTTCCTTCTGTATGATGTGAGGAGAGGGCGAGAGGCTGCCCCTCATTCTGTCCTCCTAGAGCCCTGTTTGCTGAAAGGAACGTTGAGGACAACCCTGCTCTCCATCCCTCCTACATGTCTCTCTTCGATAATATCCCATAGAATCTCCAGGCCTATCCAAGAGGCAGACGAATAGCTGTTTTTCTCAGAGATTCCTTATTTAGCACTGGAGATGTTGTTGTTACTATGGTTACACTCTTATACTAGTCTGTGAACCTGGGAAAGGTCACAAAAGATGGGAAGAAAACATGGCAGCTGGGGTCTGGAAGAGGGAACCCTGGGAGCAGCTTAAAAGTTGGACTTACCTGCTGCACTTCGGAAAGAGTAGAGGTCTTGGGGGAGTTCCTCAGATACCCCTGAGAAAGGCTGAGTCTGTTAGGATCGTTTGAGCATTTTGTCCTCAATAGAAAGTCTGACTGTTCAAGGCTGGAAGTAGATAATGCTTGTCAACCAGTTTTCCAAGAAAATCCTTTAGCCCCTTGGGATTTTAAATGGTGCAATACTGTCATTTACCTATTAGTCAATCAGCAGATATTTATTAAACACCTACTGTGTGCCATACATCATGCTAAGCACTGGGAATATACATAACAAAGAATAAAGGAATATCTCCTTGAAAGGAATGTATCTTCTAGTGGAGGAGACAACAGATCCGTGTATAAATATAGACAGCATCCATTTAAAGCTGATAAACACATACGCGTACATATGGCTGGGCACATATATATGTGGAAAAGCTGGTTGCAAGTGTTTCTCGATATTCTCTCTGTAAGTGGGACTGTAAATAAGGATGATTCATTGTCCCTACAACTCAGCTCTATCCTCTGACAAATCTGGAGGTTTGGAATCATAGACAGAACTGGATGGAACCTCAGAAGTCAACCCCTCATCTTACAGATGAGTCACCTGAGTCCCAGAAAAAGGGAGAGACTTGAACAAGGTCACACCAGCAACCAGTAGCAGTGGTGGAATTAGAACCCAGGGCTCTGGACTCCAAACCTAACCCTCTTTCCACTGTAGCATATTGGAGCTCCTACCTCCTCGGTATGTGCCAACCGTGTACGTGACATGGCAGCTGGAAACATGAATACTGTCCCAGGTCAGAGTGAGCAGAAGGAGAAAGGTGGTCTTCCCCCTCGCCTAGGTTCTGGTCAGACTAACTTTTTGGAAGGAAGTAAAGGCCTAACCTGTTTCCCTTGAATATCTCAAATGAACTTTTGAAAAAAACACTTATGGTTTTGGAAAGTCCCAAACAGTTGATTATGGCATTTTCTTACCTTTATTTATTGCATTTTTAATGCAAAGTATAAACCTTATGTTTCAAACACAAATTCACCAAGCAAAGCCTAGAAGAGAAAAGAACATAAGATGTTTAACTCTTCATTAACCAACTCACCAAAACATTTGCCTGCCTGCCTGCTTCCCTTGGGAGTTGATGGTACAACAGTGCCATATGCCTGGCACTGTGACGGCATTTTTGAGGAGTTTATATGTGGACAGGTCCAAAGAATCACTAGTCCTGGGCTTAATAATAGGATCAAAGGTCTAGAACTGGAAGGGGCCACAGACCCTAATCAAACCTCCATTCCACATCCAGGGAAACTGAGGCCTGGAGAAGTGAAATTATTTACCCAAGTGCAATGGTGGGATTTGAACTGAGATCCCAGGACTTTGAATCCAGTGGTTTTTTTCCCTATGATGTCATGCTACCTCCCTATACAAATGTCTTCTTTGAATAATAACCTTTTCAGTGGTTCTTCCTGCTGAAACCTTCCATTTTCTCTAGATAACTGAGATCCCTGTGAGGCGAGGGGACACAAAGCCCTTGTTTCATGTCAACAAAGACCTGAATTCAGCAGGGCAGTCAATAATGGTGATAAGAATTTAGAACTTAAATCTAGGGTGTAATCCTCCAGACAGGTCACCAAAGACTTAATAACCTCAGTACCTGCTTATTCCAAACTGGGTGCCTGCCTAAACTAAGGACAAGGGGGTGGGAAATGACAGGGCGAGGTGTCAGATGGGTTAGAAGCGGAGCCTCAGTCAGCCATGGTGCAGTCCTCGCTAGTCCTGGAACTGCAGAATGTGGGTCAGAATGGACCTCAGAGAATGCTTAATTGGTCAATCAACAAGCTTTATTAAAGACCAGCTATGGGCCAGGCACTGTCCCAGGGGCGGGGAACCTGTGACCTCAAGGCCGCATGTGGCCCTCTCGGTCCTCGAGTGTGGCCCTTTGACATTCAGTCAGACCTAGAGGGCCACATGTGGCCAGAAGGCCTTACCGCTGCCTGGTCCATTTCAGTCACATCTGCCTCTCTGTGACCCCATTTGGGGTCTTCTTGGCAGAGATACTGGAATAGTTTGCCATTTCTTTCTCCAGCTCATTTTACAAATGAGGAAACAGAGGCAAACAGGTTTAAGTGACTTGACCAGGGTCACACAGTTAGTAAGTGTTCGAGGCCAGATTTGAACTCGGGTCTTCCTGACTCCAGCCACTGTGCCACTTAGCTGTCCTTCCCCTCTCACCCCACCCACAACCTCCCTGACAAGGAGTCATCCAACCTACTTTGAAGACCTCTGGGGACGAGAGAGCCCATCCCTCTTTGGGAGAGCTCCAAAGTCAGGAAGGTGGTTTTTGTCCAACCTAAATGCGCCTCTCTGCAGCTTCCTCTGTTGCTCCCACTTCTTCCTTTGGGAGCCAAGAAGAACAATCCCTCTCTCAAATGACTGCCTGTCAAATATTTGACGTACCCACCAAGCTATCACTCCTCCAGACTAGCAATCATAATAACAGCCAACATTTACCTACCTCTAAGGAGCCAGGCTTAGAGCTAAGTGCTTTATACTTATGATCTCCTTTGGTGTGGGTGTGGCCACTGTCCCCATTTTAGAGATGAGGAAATGGAGGCAGAGAGTAAATGACTTGCCCAGGGTCACACAGATGCTAATGTCTGAGGGCAGATTGGGACCCTGGTCTTCCTGACTCCAGGCCCAGCACTCTACACTGTGCCAACTCCCTTCTTTGGGTACTAGGCCTCATTAAAAAGTGCTTTAGCTCTTCTGGCTGCCGCTGTTGACATATTAGCTTACTGTCCTAAGTCTTTCTCACATGACCTATTGTCCAGCCAGGCCTTCCTCTTCGTAGAGCTGGAGAAGCTGATTTTTTTTAACCCCAGTCTAAGGCTGAGTGACCATTCAGACATCACAGGATCCTCGGTTTAGGGCTAGAAAAGGCCTCAGCTGCCACCACATCTAACCCCCTTTTTCAGAGGATAAAACCGAAGGGAGTGTCTAAGAAAGGATTTGAACCTGGGGCTTCACCTTACATGTCCAGGGCCCATGCTCCATGCCACCCTGACTCACCAACATCCCAGCAGGCACTTGGTGATGCGGGCCTAAGCTGAGGGAGGAAGCAGGAAAATGGGCAATGCCACTGAAACCAAGGAGGATCATCGCTCTAGACCTGGAAGGGGCCTCACAGGCCATGGTGGCCAACACCCTCATTTTATAGATGTGGAAACTGAGGCCAAGCAGCTTGCCTAAGGCCACACAAGCCATTAGGCCTCAGAGGTGAGCTTGGAACCCAAGTCTTCAACTCCAAAAACAATACTCCTTCCCTGGTACCATCATGAAGATGAGTCTCAGAAGCCGCAGGAAGATCGTGGAGGATGAGGCCTGAGCAAAAACCCTTGATGGGGGAAGATACTGAGAGCTTTGGCCATGAGGAGTAGAGAGCTGAGATCACAGGATCTCAGAATTACAAGGAGTCACAGAGACCGCCTAGTCCACTTGTCCCTGAGCAAGAATCTCTTCTAGAAGGTGGGGGACCACAGATGGGGAGTGCGGCATACATCGCTTTTTTAATGTAGTTTTATTATACTTTTTTTCTTTTACTTCTTTAATTCTTTAAGGCATGGGAATGACAGGGATGACGTGCTGGGGAATATGAGTGACAGAAAAACAAAAGATAGCAGTACAAACGTTCTTAGAAAAAGAATTCCTTCTATGGTATACCTAACTAGTGAGCATCCAGGCTTTGCCTGGAGATCTCTAGGGAGGGGAAACCAGTCCCTCTCACATCAAACCTGAATGTATGGCTTCTGCTCATTGCTCCTGGATCTGCTTTCTGGGGCCAAGGCTAATCCCACCTCCAGATGACAGCCCTTCAAATAGCCCTGGCTCCTTTAACTTATATGACATGGACACAAAGCCCTCCTTCAGATCTGCTCCACTCTATTACCGTTCTTCCTAAAATGTGGCTCAAACTCGAACACAAAACTCCAAATGTGGAGAAAGGCAGTAAGGTATTATAGAGAGTTGGCCTCAGGGTCAAAAAGGCCTGGGTTCAAATCCAGCCTCAGGCACTTACTAGCTCTGTGACCCTAAGCAAGTCACTTAATCTCTACCTGCCTCTGTCTCCCCAATTACAAAATGGAGAGAATAATAGCACCTTCCTCCCAGGGTCTGTGAGGATCAAATAAGTGCTCAGCACAGGGCCTGGTACACAGTAGGCACTTAATAAATGCTTGTTCCCTTCCCTTCCTCCAGGGGCTCCCTTATTCTAGATGCTATGCCTCTCCAAATGCAACCTGAGGCCCCTTTGGCTTTCCCAGCTTCGCTATCATGCTGTAGATTGAGCTTGCAGTATACAAAGAGAGCTAGGGGGTTAACCCCATCAAGAAGTTTCAATGGTTCCCTATTGCCTTCTCAACAAAGTATAAACCTCTGATCCTGATATTCAAGGCTGTCATATCCTGCTCCAAACTCCTTTCAGCCTGATCCATTTCTGCTCCCCTTTGCATATTCTGTAGCTTTGCTCTGTTTCTGCTCCTCTTGTCCTGCCCTCCTCTGCCCCATACCCTCCCTCATGCAGCTCTCCATGCCTGGATGCAAGAAATGGATTCCCCAACCCACCATCTTGGGTTGACTTCCTTCCATCGTTCAAGGCCCCACTCAGATGTCTTCTCCTTTAAGAAGAAAGGGATTTCTCCCTCAACGATTCCTCACCCGACTTAATCTAAACGTCTCCTTTGTACTGCTTTCTCTTCCCACTGAATCATAGCTATCTTGGTGCTGTCTTTTCCTCCCCCTTAAACAGTAAGCTGTATGAGGACAGTGTCCTAACAGACTTTGTATCTTCAGGGCCTTGAATAGAGCAAGGACCAAATAACTATCTGCTAAATAAAACTTTGTAGCAAAGGATGGGGCAAGATTGGGTTGAAACAATGGCCACATTTTTAACTTAGAAGCCAAAAGCTAATATTTATGGTATCTCATCCAATTTTTTTTATCAACCTCGTGAGGTGGAAGGTACTATTATTATCCCCATTTTAGAGATGAGGAAACAGGCTCAGAGTGATTTAGAACTGGGGGGGAGGGGCAGCAGAGCACGAGAGGCCACCAGGCCCAACCCCCTCATTTTGGAGAAAGGGAAACTGAGGATTGGAGAGAGGTTAAGGGACTTGCCCAGCATCTCACAACCAGGCTGGACTTAAATTCAGGTCTTCCTAAGTCTCCTATTCTAGCCACTATACCCAAGCTACTTTCAGAATCATTTGCTTGTGGAGATCATGAGTATTTCATTCTTTAGAGCTTTCTGTTACCCCTCTGGGGTTGACTTTCCTTGTAGAATTTCACAGAATTAGAACAAGTCTTGGAATCTTTTCATGACAAGGTGACAAACTCCAGGGTAAGAGTCCCTGTCCTACACAGAGGGAGTCACAGCTTGACACGGATGAGCAAGAAGCCATGGGTGAGCAGGTAGGAAATGTGAGCTTCTCCCATTAAAGCGCTTGGCGCTGGTCAAACACCCTCTAGGCTCCTGCAGTCTGCTTTGGGCTCCCCATTTAAAGAAGATCCACAGAAAATAATTAGAGGCTTAGAAAATAAGACCACCAGGAAATCTTCAATAACTGGAATTACAGGTCCTGCACAACAGGGCTGCCTGAGAAGAGCAGCCCCTCTTCATCATTCAAATGTGCTTGGGCTGGAGATCAAAAAAAGTCTGACCCCAAATCTGGGAAACACTCAACTAAGTCACAGTTGGGGTGGGGGTAGGGTGGGGGAATGGTCTCTCCTCCTCTGGATGTCATTGAAGGACATTTCCCTCTCTGGGGACAGTTAGACCAGGATGGACATGAGCAGCTCTTCACTAAGGTTTTCCCCCAAAGAGAAACTTTCCCAGCTTCTCTATAACATTCCAAGACCTTGCCACCCTGCAAGACCCCAGACTGGATTCCCTCCTCTTCTGGATGCCAAGTATACTGGTCAGAAGCCAAGTGTTGCTGACTTTGTTTCTCCATGTTCCTCTCATGGGGATTGGAGTCATCCCCAAACCATCTCTCCAGC